CTTGTGGAAGTTCATGAATGTCTCAGAGGCTGAGGATTGTGATTCAGTGTGCACACACACACCTTAATCACACCAGAAGCACTGGGGAAAAAACATGGCATTTTGTGAAATGTATGTTGTAGAAAGATAGAGACATTTTTGTATGCTGCGAGGAAGATAGAACCTAGAAGCGCCATCTTTTGTTAATGACATTTAAGAATCTCCATTTACATTTGGAGATATTTAAGAGTGGTGTTTTCTCAACATACTAATGCCCTTAATACACAGTTAAAAGAAGAATCAGTCACTGGAACAGTAACTGTTTGAAATGTACTTCACACGATCCCTGGGGTAAACAAAATAAACCTCGGCTGTGTGCAAGGCTGTGTCAACAAGCCAAGACCACATCTAGCAGCACACTTAACTGGATGATTCCAACTGAAGCCTCCAACTCGGAAAGAAAATGAAATCATGATTAGATGCATTCTTGAAATTCAGGTCTCAAGGCCAAATACAGATGTGAACATTCACGGTACATAACTGGGTTATGCCTCAACAGAATTTCAGGAAGACTAGCAAGCACGTTTGAGGAACAGAATTGCATTTGCTATTTCTGCTGAAGGCAACTTGTATACAACCCTTTGAAATTCTCCTTATAAAGCTGTTCAAAGCTTTAAAAAAATAGCTGTGTTTAAATGATTTATGGAAAAGAAAAGCACACCCAGTCTTTATATTTTGTGAATAAGCTAACTGTTTTATTAATGAAGGCAAATATCAGATAAATATTAGGCGGGGAGTCTTTTAAAAATAAAATCAAAGCTGACACTACTATATTTCAGAAGTGTCTGGTTGCTTTTACTTTAGTTAAAAACCCCTTCATCCAATCCAGGTTTTTGTTGTTGTTTGGGGGTTTTATTATTAAAAAAAAAAACCAAAACATATTCCTGGCCCTCTTAGTATGGGGGAAAAAAATCTACCCATAAAGAATTAGGAACTGAACACAGCTGAGCCTGACTCTCACATCAGCTTTACAGCAATGCAACTTCATTAAATCACAATGATTTCAACTGGTATGATAAGAAAATCCAGCCCATCCACACGTAAACATAGCTTTAGTAGTAAGTCTCTCTCATCCAAAAAAAAAGTACTCGCCAAGCATCAGTAAATGTGTTCAATAAACCATACAAGGAAGCGTTAGCAAAAGGGGTTTAGGGCTCGAAAACACCCTTCATGAGCACCCCCACATTTTGCAAGGCCATTCAAAAACTGGTCTTCCATATAAATACAAAAGGACTACTACTGAGAGAAACTGAAATCAGATCTATCCAGACTTTCTTCAGGATGCTTTTATCAGTTCTGATTCAATTTCAGAAGGGTTAGGTCTGAGGAGTTCGGAGGGAACAATGAAACATTTAGTTCTAGATGTACAAGTAAGGCACAATATAAAGCCACATCATCATCTGTCATGAAGGAAGTAGGAAAGGACAAGAATCATACATGGTACAGTAGAACAAGCAGCCCATCGATTCCAAGTGTGGCACCTAAGTTCAGACTGACGAGATCTCGACAAGAGCGACTTTTAATGTGGAAACAAAATCTAGAGAATCCAGTGTATCAGAAAAAGGAAGAGCTTTTGTTTGTATTAAATCAAGAACGTGTAATTGTTTTTGGATATAGGATTAAAAGTGAATATTCACAATGCCTACACTCAAAAACAAAAAACCAAAAAATCCAGGACTTCAGTAAGAGCCACATACCATGTATGAACACTGAAAATCTTTAGAAAACGGTATTCTCTAAAGATCACCCAAAAATGCATGCCACAATCGCCAAAAAACAGAACATGTACATTTGTTGGTTTTTATACCCTTATAAGATCTTTGTTTGTGATAAGTATACACTAAATGTATATATTTTAATGACACTAGAGGAAGCAGATTGTTACTGGCATTAAAGTACAACCATTTCTAGACGGTTTAAATGCCACAGAGTCCCCTGGTTAAAATGTAAAGCTGCACAGCTTGCCTATGTCACCTTTATGATAAAGTTAAACCAGCAGAAGGTCTTATCTTTACTCTACATTTTACTGCCAGGTTTTATTTATATCAAGTATCGCTGCAGCATTCTGACCAGCCCAGAGTTAGCAGCAAGTGGCAGGAATCATATAAAACGCAGTTTCTTTTTTTTTTTTTTTAAACAAAGTGCTTTTCTAAGATATACATACATATAAATAGTTACAAAATAAAGTGTCAACATTAAAAAGCTCAACTATTTAAAAGCTTTAACTTAAAATAATACGTAGAAAACACTGAAATGCAAGGGTATGGAATTCACTAAAGATTCAAAGTCTACTCTGAAATGCTAGACCAAAATCATATTCTGGTTTTCAGACAAAAATAAAAAGCTATAAAGTTATATTCGCCCAGTACGTCTGAGCAGTGAAAAAGGGGCTTTTTAATACCTTGTCAGTTTAATTTGTCATAGAAGTTTGTATCCGATTGCAAAACTGCTCTCAACGCTGAGAAACGCTGCCCTGCCTGCACAGTCTGGATCTAGCGTAAGGACCTCTCCTATCTGAGCAGTGATTAACTCCGTTCCTCGGAAAGGAACAGCAGCATTCAAATCTTGGTACAGGCGTGGCCTGAACGTCACAAGAGACATTCTTTGTCGGGGTTTTACGGCCGTGCACACCTCTGGACTAACTGCAACGTCGGCGATCATGACCACGGGAACACATCTGGCCCACTCTGTGGAGCAGCAGCCAACTCCCACCTCACCCTAACGACAACAACAGAACCACCTGAAACAAACCCACCCACATTCCACTCAGATTTTGCAAGTCTTAAGTGGATTTACAGAGTTTTCCCTAAGTTGCCCTGGGTATTTGTTCAGTCTCCTGTAGGAAAGACTTTTCTGTACAGCTCAGTAGTGGTATTCTGGCCTCCTCCTCCCTTTTGAGTCTTCCAAAATATTTAGATACAAAGTAAGCTCTGTGCACACTCACAGGCGGTGGCAGGACTGCCACCTTCATCAGCCACTCTTACTGCACTATTACCGATTCAGACTTTTTTTTTTTTATAGTACAAGCTTGGATATAAAAATAATCTACTTATAAACAAAAAGGAATCACAGTACAAACAAACTTAGACGAACTAGAAATGAAGCGGAGAAAATTCCCCAAAGGGAGCGGGAAGAAAGCCTTCATGGACTTTTGCATTTTTTTTTTCAGCAGCTACATTTGAAAATATTTGGTATTTCTATTTTCAGTAAACAGTGTTTTGTCATTTTTAAATAGGGAGAGAAAGAACAGGGAGGAAAAGGGGGGCGGTCCATGAAACCAGAGAATGATCTTGCCTTGAGATAAAGGACTTTCTCATCAAAGGCTAAAGCTTTTAATCTGTACGTTAACACTGACTACAAAGCCAACTCTTATTAGCAGAAGAGCAAATAAGAACTGTGTTAATATTCCTCAATCATAGAAACTACTGAATTAACAAGAATAAGTCACATATAAGGTTGAAGAAGCTAGTTTCGAAATACCTGTACAAAAATATAAAAGTCTATAAATTTTTTTTTTGTTTTGAAGCCTGTGTTGATCCTTGGAAACATCACATGCATAATAATACATCAACTGGAAAAGTGGCAACTAAGGAATTAGATATTTGTAGCTCTTTCTTCTCTTTACATATATACACATTACAATAAAAATAATTTTATTTTGGTTGTTTGGTGGAAGTATACTACAACAAGCTAAATAGGTTTTTTTTAAATTCTCAAAGTTGAAAACTATTTTACCAATAGCTTACTAAAATCCAAATATATTAAAATCTCCTACAGTAAGTGCAGAGAAAAAAGATTTAAAGACTCCGAGATGGCCACCAACTTATCTACCATGGAAGCGAAGTACAAGAACAGCAAAATAATATTGTTATGTATGAATGCTCCTTCTGTAGATAATTGGACCCAAACAAAAAAATTCACAGTTCAGTAAGATCCCTAACCCTGACCTTTAATTTTTTTTCTTTTTTTCTTTTGTTTTTACATTCAGTACAGTATCATGTAAGCTGTGCAAAACTTTACTTAGACTGGCAGTTCGCCATATCAGTTGCATTTGTCTTTGGTACAAAAATAAACAATCGCATTAATGTGCAAGTATTTGTTTTCTTCCGGCCAAAGTACCGAAATTGAGTTTTCTAGAGCCATCTTTTATACAATACATAGACTCTGTGGCATATATCTACATTTTCAACATATTCCTATATACATTCAAAAATTTTAAGAGCTGGAACAAATACATTAAAAACCTATAACCTTACCATCTATACATCTTGTTTTTTCCCCTCAGGGTTTTCTTCATACAAAACCTCACCAGCTTATATTGATAGCTCTCCCCCCAAAATACAAGGCACAAAGAATATACTTTTTTTTGTTTCTCTTGCTTACACAGACATGTAAATTACTATATTAAGCTCAGAAAATTAAAGTCTTATATGGCACACTAGCTCTAATGCCATGTGTGCTATGTACAAGTTAATGGTTGCTATGAAAGATTATTGGTTTTTAAGAATAAAAGTAAATCCAATTATTAAAAAAAAAAAAGAAGAAAAATCTCTCTAAAGTGACAGCTTTACAAAAAAAAATGCTTCCTCTTATTTTACTTGGAGCATAAACCTGTCACAACGTCTGGCATACGCTAAGAATTTTTACTAGCAAAACCATGTTTTTGCTTCTAAAAAAACGTGATGTATTCTGGTCCTAGATAACTTAATTTTAAAAAGAATCCTCCTCTCTGTATTGAAGCCTAAAGCAGTTTTGAAACTATCTGGATTATGGTCCAAAAATGCTATTCAGCATTTCGTATCATGCTTTGATTTGTTTTACTACATTGTTATTTAAAACCAATGGAACCTAATTGTGTTTACATAGTGCTAAACTGACATGCAGACCAGAATGCAATTTACAATGAAGTACGTGACAACACGGGGTAGAATCTGACCAACGGGAACAGCTGAAGTCGTGTCTTAAACTTTTGACATTGGTATTCGCAGCCCTACAAGGCCACCGGTGGGGTCTCCTTCTGCAGTCTTCTCTAAAACTTGATTCACAAATTCTGATGTCTGTCCAGCTACAGGTAGTCCTAAAAAGGGAGGGCAGGAAAACACACTGTAACGTTGCTACTATTCATTGCATGTACTCGCATATTCCTGTAAGTAATACCAAGCCGATGATCACTTTGGTTATGAACCAACCAAAAGGCACAGACAACTGAATTTAGGAAGCACTTCTTTCTTTTCTCTGTTCCAGAAACTGTTTGCAATCTAACGTATCATAGACCTTACGTCTCTTCACATACGTGCAAATACATTAAGTTTACTGCTTACCAAGAGTGTCTTTAATGAGTATGTTCAACTTCTGTTCCATGTTGACTCCCCTATCATCTTTAGGTACCTGCACCCGATTAACTATTTCTTGTTTAATGGAGTTGATCACAAACAGTAAATTATCTGCAAACAAAAAAACCCATTTTTTAGATTTATAGCACTTTCCTCCTGGAGCAAAAGATCCACAGTTCCACACACTGTTATCTGTCAGGGTAAAAGGTGTCACATCACACTTACTGTAAAATTAAGATGTAATAGTTTACATCTGTAAACATATTTCCAAAAATGTTTACGTTACATGCATTCATTTACATAATTTACATCTGTAAAGTAGCTCAACACTGCAGGTAACCCAATTTACATACACTGGTTTTGTACCAACAAAATTATTGGGTTTGTACCAACTCTGTTTTCTCCATAAACTGCCAGGTATGCCCCAGGTTACATGATGGTGCAAAACACAGACTCGTCTGAACAAAAGAAAAATTAAGACATGAAGAGTTGTATTTACCATATTCCGTGTTGAGACCCCAGAGTTTTACTTTATTGGCTTCATACTGGGCTTTCTTTTTTAGTCTACAAGCCCTATAGTAAGAAGAGGGGAAGAATTAGAACACTAACAAAAATTTTAGAATACTACAAGCATCTGTTTTGTTTGCCACATGAGCTTATCCACCAATACTCCCCGAGCTGTGATGTGCAAAACCATCTATCTACTCGTTCACCTCCAGTGAAAGCATCTGCTACCTGTAGTTGCATAGATTTGACACGTGTGGATTTTATCACTGTACCTGTCATTTGCCCTGCAGCTAAGTAAGCCACCTTCCAGTGGAAATACATCGTTGTGTCTAGGGAACAGGCCAACTACATCTCTGAAGCATCAGCTGCCCTGCCTTTTGATCAGCTGGTAATTAGCCCATTGCAGGAACTCCCACCATGAAGCACAATCTTCAGACAAACCTTAGTTAGAACTTAATTGTACAGTTGTAATCCGAATTTACTCATCCACACTAGCGTTATCTAACATGTACCTTGAAGCCAGCTTGTTCTTTTCTTTTCTCGACCTCGGTCTGGCAGTTAAGGGAAGTTCACTGACTGGCGTCAGGTCACTGATCACCTTATTCAGCTTTCTCAGCTCGTTACCAATCTGCAGAAGTTTCCTGGGGTTTGGAGTCAGGTCTTCTACATCAGTCCTCCGGGACTTCTTTGCTGCGTATTTTCCTGTTATAAATATGCAGAAAGTGACGTTGGAAAGTGACACAATACACACGTAAACCTTCAAAAAAAATTCTTACATATGTATTTTTTTTGGGTGCAGTTTAAGTTCCTTTGTTTACCACAAGAGAATGGACTGGAATCATGTGATCTCTACGGCCTTTCACAACAGAAAAGAGCATTTCCAGTCAACCTGCTTTGTACAATTCATATTACATCCAGATCAGATAAGAGCAAATACTGCTGGTCAGGCTACTGGATGTGTCAGACAGTAAACACAAAACTGTGCTGAGAAATGTATGTCACAAGTTCAAACACAGTTGCTCTGCCTCAACTGCCACATGCTAACTCATGTGTTCAGCCAAATATATCCTCTTGCACATTCAGGTTGATTCAATTCCTAAATAATCTTATTGCTAAAGTTCTGTATTATGAAAGGGTGTTGAGGTCTGGTACTGAAATGATCTTCAATGATACTGATCTTAAATCATCCAGATAAAGGCTAGTTAACCTCTTTTATATGTGTCTGAACCTACGTAAGGCCTTGTTTTCCTGAGAAAACACACATATTCAAGACAAAAATCTTTATTCCTTAAGATTCTCTGACAACGCCATGTGTCCTTTTCTAGATTTCTATTAAAAATGCCAGTTGTTACAGATATTGCATGAAAATGTTATTAAAACTAACAAAACCTGCTCCAGAAATGCTTATCAGAGAGCTGATAATTTAGTTCTGATTTATCTGAGGTAGGAGATGGCCTTGGTAGGTGTCTGTATATGAAAATAAAATCATCCTGCGTCTGTTATATTCTGTAGCTTCTGGATGTTAAGCAGTGTTTGATCCTACAGATCCCTTGCATACACACCTGACTTAAAGGTCAATTGCTCCTCCCAGTGCCTGATGAGACTGAGTCCTCAAGGAATATTTAGTTATTTATTGTTAGTAACAATATATAACTTTTCATAAGAAGGAGCAGTGATAGGGACTTTAGATACTGGTATTTTATTACAAGATAAATAAGCATATAAAATTTCAGCAGATTTAAAAAAGAAAAGAAGTTTTCTTCCTTGAATAAATCTGCAAGTAACAAGAACAAAACCATCTTTTGGTTTAATAGAAGGTGAACTACCATGTTAAAGATAGTAATTTTCAGCTCTAAGGGAACGCTAACATTACAGCCAGGGAGAGCTGGTTTCATTTTCTCTTTCAAACCAAAATCGAACAGAGCAGCCTACCAAGGAGGTCTCGTGACAAGAAAACAAACATTATTCCTAAGAGTGGTTTGTTCTGGGTGATGTTAGTCATGTGTGGGGTAGAGCAAATTGCTAACAAAAAAGTTATAGGAATAAAACCCAGTTATTAGGGCAATTGGTCTAAGTTTCTAAGAGGGTACTTCAGAGAAATAGCTCACTCACAGAAGAGGAACTGCTTCGCTGTATTGCATTCACATAGGTGGGAGAAACAAATAGGGAGGAGCAAAAAGACAGTTACACTGCTTGTCTTTTAGTTCATACTGCAGTTAACATGAACCTTCCATCTCAGGTCACTTCCAGCTTACTTTTAATATGAGCTCTCAAGCGACATTCAGTACGTTTACAGTACTGCACTGAGAAAATTTTGAACTCTTGGGAGTTACAATTCTCAATTCATCCACCTTCCACTGGATGAAACCACACTGTAAGTTACTACTGTATGTTCACTGTGCCTTCCTCGGACACTGTGCAGAGTTCTGCTAATGGAGCAACAGACTTAAGAGTGTTTTAATGATTTCTTTGCATGACCAAAACACAACTTCTCAGCACTTGCAAGGCTGGGAGTTCGGCTACTGAAGGTGTCAGAACAAAAGATATTCACTTGTAACTAGGACTCCATTCTTACCATGATGGAGACCATTCTTCTGATACATGTTACTTGGTAACGTATCTCGATTCCACTCGGACGGCCTCAGCATTCTTTCTTGTTGCGATGGTGTTAGTTGCTCGCTGTACTCCCAGAAATATCTTCGCTTACCTCTTTTCCGAGAGGATATTGCAGTCATTTCTTTTAAATCCTCCACAGAATCATTTTCATACCCTAAAAGAATGCATTGCATTGTTTATTTAATGTTGACCAAACTGGTTTTAGCCTTTTAATGGTGGACTGAGTATTCAAGCTGACAGCAAAACCTCAGGTGAGGACTGTTTTGCATTATCTAAATAGACTTGGTTTTCAGCATCAACTACTACTGGGTACTTGCCTTAAATCCAGGGATAGACACTGAGCCAGTGACACTGTTTCATTAGTTGAAAAGAGACAAATTATTTATGTACTGAAAGACCCTTTATGTTCTCTGACCCCTTAAGCTCTATTGCTCTTCTCCCCCACGATCCCACCACTGCAGAGTACAGTCAACAGCTGCTGAAGAGTGTTCTTCCATCCTTACAGTTCTGTCCACGGATCCTAACTTGCCTCCACATTTTAATTAATCTCTACTAAAAAAGCATGGGAAGAAAAACAGATAATAAAGATGGATTAGCAAAAGACTACTGAAGAGAACAAAATTATTCAATCACAGAGTATTTTGAGCTAGAAGGGACTCATTAGGATCACTGAGTCCAACTCCTGCTCTTCCTTGAGTCTGAATATCTTTGGGAAATAAACCACCCATCTCTCTTAGACCAGAGGAAACGGGGCTCTTATGGGGACGATGACCTAAAGTCCCTTAGAAAAGTACCTAAATTGGAGATAAAAGCTGCTCAATCTCTTCCTCACCTCTTTAGCTGGATGAAGAGAAATGATCCATGGTAAAAGCTACACAGTATTTTACAGGTATATTATGATACGCTCCGTATGATGAACTGTTTGTGAAGTAAATGGAAACTGTAATGGTACTATCCACGTTGCATAACTATTTATACCACAATTATGTAAACACAAACCACAGTTTTTCAAATCCTACATACGCTTTAGAAAACAGACGGCCTACGCTAAGGGTAAAAAATCCCAAACTGCTGCATCATCTTTTGTACTAAAATGCTATAAAATAATTTACATTTACTTAAAAAAATGTATTTCAAAACATCACATACACTGATGAAGCTTAAATAAAAGCCAAGCACTGAACAGACTGTAAGCTTAACAAGCCTTGACCCCATATGCTTAAGCTCTGCTTCATCTTTTAATGGCAGCACAATAACACTTTCTTCTGTTTAAAACAGTCCATTCAGTTAGTCTGTTTGCACTTGAAAAATCAGTAGAAAGAGGAAAAAAAAACTTTCTTGCTTTGGTCTGACTCTCACCTCATAACCCAAAGTAAGAATAAGAGTTAGGTGTACAGAAGGATTAAATCAGTTCTAAAGTTCTGTTCCTAATAATTTCATCAACTCATTTACTTTGATTCTCTAGTTTATTAAAAAGACAGTATTTTGAAGGCAAAACAAACAATGAGACATGCTTTGTAAAACATTTTTCTTTATAGCCACAATTATGACAATTTATGTTAAATATAATTTCAAATACCATAAATATTTTAACTGTACTTCCATTTTACCCAAATGCTGTTGGCATAAGTATAAAAATACTCTCTAAAAAACCACTTACTTTCCACTTTAAAAAAAACCATGTCAAGCTATATAACTCATTATATAGATATGTATAAATTTAGCCCATGTTCCTGGTAACACAGAACTAAGCCAACTGATTAAAACAATCTCTTTAAGAGCTGGTGTGTACAAATGTACAAGGTTAAACCCAAAACTTCCTGTTTGCTTATTTAAACTATAATTAAGTTAGCAACTTAAATTATGTTGACTTAATGCATCCTGCCTTGCAGCTCCAGCACTGACCAGCTATCACTCTAAAGTTACAGAGAATAATCTAGTGCACAATGTCCTAACCTAGTCTGGACCATACAGGAGTGCAACAAATCCGTACAGCTCTTCTACACTGCACTCATCTTCCTTTCGTTCTCCTCTTAGCAAAGATCATACAGCAGGCTCACTTTCTTTGGCCAGCTTCTAGGAAATCTGAAAGGGTTCTTGTATTTACCTTTCAAGCCCTTCTCAAGTCCCTCCTAAATGTGTTTGTCCACATCCCTTACCATGGGTTTAGATTTTAATTCACCAGGGTTAAATTAAGCAAACCAGAGAATGGGACAGATACGACTTCTGTATTTTACCAGATTACAAGCAAAAATAGCCCCACTAAAGCAAAACGAGAAAAAAACCTACTCTTTGCCATTTGATCATACTTCTGTCATATCATTTGTGAGTCTTTTTTCCCCAGCACGGTCCAGATGCTCAGGACAGATGCAATGCAACCCTTTAAACAATCTCCATGTCTCTACAAGCACTTTTCCCTTTCAGCTGTTTCTTCTCCATTGCACCTGAAAACTCCATCAGTTGCTGCATCTCCCATTTCCGGAATCTCTTGACTACTTGATGGGAGAAGCAGTCATTTACAAATATTTCCCTTAAATGACATAGGTGAAATATACTAGCAATGGCAAAAAAAGGTTTAAGTGCTAGAAGAGGGCTGATAATTCCCATAATAAATTACCTTTGCAGGTGATTAAAATTGCTAAATCTGTACCACAGTGATAATAAAACCACTGTTGCCCAAACTTGCTCAACAGCCTGTCACACTTTCAGCATATCTCCAAGCTCCTGAGGTTCGATATATCTAAGTATTTCCTCAGACAACACTAATGCCTTCAGAAAGCATTTCATGCACTCCCGAAAACATACACAAAGAAGAATAATCAAAAGTGAACATAAAAATACATAAGAGGGTCAGCAGCAAGTAATATGATTTTGTCCTTTCATTTTGGTTTTGGTACTATGGAAGGTTAAAGCTTCCTGTGCCATGCCTTTTTTTAGAAACTATATCCATAGGATTTACCTTTACTCTAAAGGTAAAAACGCAACATGAAATACAAGAGTGACATAATTAAATCCCTGGGGACCATTACCTTCTAATATAATCAAAACACACAGGGAAACTTTTAGAATCACCACACACGAGGTGAACGGCTTCGTTCATGTCAAGTTCCAGCAAGCTTGCACAAGCCAAGATTCTCAGCTGCTGTACTGAGCAACAAAGTTGTATTTAGAAGGCGAGAGCGAACGATTGTCAGGGAAATTAGAACAAATGGCAAACAGTTCATGTAATTTCACCAACTAAACGCCTGGCATTTTAATACGACACCTCTTTTCAAGGTTAGCAGGCTTTCTGTGCAACATGCCTCCGTGGGCTGCAAAGCACTGTGCAGTACAGCAAGTGCTACAGAGCTGTAATAGCTACTCAAAGCCCCAGAAAGTAGAGGGAGTTCAATTCAGAAGAAGGGAGGAAGAGGTTTTAAAATGCTAATAAAAATGTGTTATGTACATGGGAAAATAACATAAAGGGCACAATGCTTAACAAATTTAAGGCCAACTCAGGAAATCTACTTGGAAAATAATTTATTCTGAGAGTTCATTATGACAGTGACAAGCTTCAGGGAAGCTGCCGTTTTCAAAAAGGCAAAATTTCAGCTGCTTTCCCCCCCCAAAGTTACATATTGCCACGTCTGAATACCTTAATGCTTACAGTCTTACTACAAAGCATTTATCAAATGTGAATATTATAGTACTTTCTACGATGAAACTAATACTTGGTTACAGTCCTGTCCCTTTCCCTTCAGATTTTATTTTTACACAACGTTACCAGTTCGTTACCTTCCAGGTGAAGGTTAGCTCTTAATTCTGTTGTTAAGGCTTCATTTCTACATGCGGAAGAGAGGAATTCAGTATCCTTTGAAGACCCACTAAGTGTTAGTGCTGAAAACCACCAAGAAACGGTTCTGTTAGTTTCAGTGGTAGGTATTTTTTCGATTCTCTGGAAAACTGTGCCTACAGTAGGACTTAAGTAATTATGAAGTCAAGACTTTGGAAGCAATTGCCCAGAGATGTTGCAGCTGCTTCCTCCCTGGAGGTGTTCAAGGCCAAGTTGGACGGAGCCTTGAGTAGCCTGATCTAGTTGAGAGGCGTCCCTGCCCATGACAGGGAGGTTGGACTAGATGATCTCTAAGGTCCCTTCCACTCTAGGCCATTCTATGATTCTAAGAAAATATTTCACACTCAGCCTATGATTTCACACCAAGTATCAAGAGATAAAATTCTGCATAAATTCAAATCAGCAACCTACTGAAGCACCAGGAAACTCCACACATCCTATCATCAAGCCACGAAAAAAGACAACATTTGCAAGTATTTGCTCTAAGGCTGCAAACTAGGTTTTCCATATTCTCTATTTTAATTTTTGTTGCATGACCACAGTTTATGCAGTTTTTCTCAAAACGGGGCAATAGAGATCTTGTATAGTTTTTATTAATTACTTTTTCCAAAGCACTTGGAAAATCTGGGAGGAAAGTTCATCGCTTAAGATCAGTATTGCTCCTCTGTAACTATAAAGCACTCAAAAGCATTCTTTCCCACTTGGCAGACACATCCATTAACCTCCACGTTAACAAAGCCCAACATTGCTGGTACCTGGTTCTGAGAAAGTATCGCTGATGTCATCATCTTTATCATCCTCGTAATCTTCTTCCTCATCATCATTTTCAGAGAGCTCGTGCTCACTGCCAAATCCTTCATCATGGTCCTCATCTTCAATATCATCCTCATCATCCTCATCCTCCTCAGGGTCTCCTTTGGCCGACTGTTCACCCAAACTGTCTGTTACAAAAAGAGAGTAGTTGTGCTCTTCTTTCTTCTGTGAAGAATCTGACACTGATGTGCTGGCAGAAAGACTGCTCTCTCCCACAATAAGCCCTGGACTTTCCTGGGGTGGACTCAGGAGCAGTTCTTGAGTCTCTTTAAAAGGCAGAACAGGAGGCGTACTGTGACTGTGCGGGGACTCGATTCCTTTTCTTTCTTGTCTCTTTGCTACAGCACCACAATAGCAGGTGTTTTCCTTTGCTGCATCAGCATGTGTCTGGCTCAGCACTGGTCTGCTCTGTGGTAAAGGATTGATCTTTACTTTTGCCTTTTTAACATAGTCTTTACATTCAACGTGAATGTTCACCTTTTCGTTATTGTACACATTGGTCTTCACCATGATTTGTGTACTGGAAGCAGGCTGACTTGCAGGTTTGCTCGCCTTCTGAACACAGTCCGACAAAGGTGCCTCAGCCTGAACATTCTTGGAGGAACAGACTGGGGCTGCTGCTCTGGTGGCAATTTTTTTGCCAGGTAACAGCGAATTTAAAGGGTTTTGTTTCACACTAAGGAGTAAATCAGGGTAATAGAGTGAATCGGAAACAGGCTGGGAGTCCTCACTGTTGAGCTGAGCCAGTGTTGGTGTTTTGCTTATCACCTCTTCATCTTGGTATGGGCTTGAAAAGTCATCAAGGCCCAGGTAATCCACCTCTTTTGTTCCCCAGATGTCACAGCTGGTTAATTTAGTGTACTTAGTTAAGTCTTCACAGTAGGTGTCCCACTGCTCCCACTTTGAGGTGAGAGCAGCTTCTTTGTCCAGGATGTCGGTAAAAGACTCCAAGTTCTCGAGGTCTTTGCAGTCCTCCATTGAAAGGAAGTTGTCTCTGGAGCTTTGCTGATAGTCCATTTCTCTGTCCTGTACATAGTAAGACAAGTTCAAAATTAATAAAAATAATGAAAATAAAAAAGTATCAGTCATCTCTGTCCTCTACATAATGTAGCAAGATGGACTTAATTCCAGTGACGTGTAAGGCAGGGGTAACATATGAAAACATCTCAACTTCCAACTATAAGATTCTTCTGAGGGTTGGAATGAAATCCAGCTTCCATGCTCCAGCAGCAGACCCTTCTGAAGAAATTCCTAAATAGACAAGTCAAAATGCTGATGGATTCTTCTTCTGCTATTGCAAATTCATCTGGTCATCATGAACTAGACTCGTACCAATATCCACGTATTTAAAATATGAAGGATATCACAGGCAAGCTGCTCTAGTCTCTATTAACTTAAGTCAATTTTTGTTCTGTGCTTAACAGAATATGCTGAAGTTCACCAGTCCCTGGAAAAACTCATTCTAACAGGATCATTTAACAACTGTGAGCTACCTTTCTTCTTTGGTGTAGGGTGAAAAAAAAAAGCTAGTGTAAATATTTCATGAGTCAACTTTTACTTTGCTTCTCCTGCATTTACAGCTTGGGTGAAGTAGCACATAGCTGGCTCATGCAGAAAACATTGTAAGGAAGAGTCCCAAGCACCATTACATAATGTCAACACAGCTCTATTTGCAACTTGTATATCAAGTCTCTCCTGATGGCCCTGCTTTAACAAGCGTTTATTAAGAAGATCGCATTTACTGGACAAGCAGTTAGGCTTTTCCCTAATCAGTGGCTAGCAGTAAGGAATAACCTTCTAGCATTCTTGAACAAGTACTCCTTTATTAGGACCCAAATTCAGGGTATTAGTCAAGGAGAGGAAGTTAGTACACACACAGAAAGATGACCTACCAGTTCATACATGAAGTCTGGATCTGAACTGCTTGCCAAGAGATCCGTGCTCATCAGAGTCTGCTCTGAAAACACATGGCTCCGAAAGGCGTCCCCAAAAGGAGGGTCCATTCCACTCACACTGGGCTACAACAGAGTTGATACTGATATTTGAAGCATGCTATAAAGGCATATCCTTTTCTTCAACAAAACATAAAGAGTACTGCTGTTTCATCCAAGCCTCTGAACCTGTAGTATACTTGCATCTGGAAAGCTTTGGCCTACACAGATAAGTGTGTCATTTTTTAGAGCGAGAGAACGCTTTAAGAGCAGCTAACAACATGCAGCTCTAATCAAAGCACACATCTGTATTCATTATATAGCTGCAAGAGCATTGCTCCTTCTTTCCTTTTTTTGTTGGTTTGAAATTCTCATGTGTTTGCCAAGTTTAGGGATATGTTTAGCATTTGCAGAAGAGTTCGACTGCTGGCAAGATCTCGGAGTATCAATAGTTACTACACACTTGCAGGGCCTTCAGCCCTGACTGTTTTCTTGGAACCATTAGAACCAATAAAACTTACACCTGAGGTGGTAACAAAAGCAAAATCTTTTCCAACTACATCAAGAGCATTTTATCTCTTGGGGACAAAGTGGAACTTTGCAAAAAAACATTATGCAGGATGAGTGGGCATGCAGGGAATGGGCAGGAAGGCTTTCTGCTACATTTAATTCCAGACCTCTATTTCTCTCCCAGGCACACTCGCCCTGAGGGCTGGGAAGGGAGAAACACTGCTCTGCTGAAAGTCATTCAGCGTGCTGATGTGTGAATCACTGCAGTAATAAAAGGCTGCTCTCCAGGCATCCACCCTCTCCAAGACGACAACTTTGCTGAATCTTGCTGTGTGAACAAATAACAGTACCAAGAGCAGCAACACAGCTTCCACCATAGACACTACTGGGGGCCTAAAAAACATGCACTGTTTAATCGCTTATAAATTCTCCCTGCCAAAAGCCAGTTAAATTTGTTCTTAAACTTTTTTTTTTTTTTAAAATAAGGAAGCAAAAACGATTTATGGAAGCAAATAAAACCCTAACAGACTTACCTGAGGCATTTCCAAGCCCAGGTTCCCCAAATCCAATTCCAAACTTCTTGTTTTATTCACTTGTGGATTCCTTTCCAGCTTTACTTCAGCCTCAGTGAGTTTACACAATCCATGCAATGAAATTTTTCCTTAGGATAACTTCAGTTCACCCTGATGGAGCTCTTCTATTTGTAGACTTCTATGTAGAACAAACATAGCAAACCCCCAAGGTGGTAAGTAACCCTTCACCAAAAAGGCAGTACTTAAAAACCAGCCAAAATGCAGTAAAGGCAAAAATTTCCCCTGAAAAGTGATTATTCCTCATGTCAGAACATACAGTAGTTTTATTTCCCTGCCATCTTTCATCGAATAAAAAGCCACAGATGCTACGGAACAGAGCTCTGACAAAAACCTTTTTGGCCAAGTTACATTTTGTTGCCTTTTGTCCTCACTACCAAGACCACGAGCTACAGAGACATATGAAAAGCCTGCCTAATTGGAAATAGTGACATACTGCTGGGCAGACAAGAGAGAAACAATCTTTATGACTAATATAACAGAGCCAATAAATTCTAAAAATGTCTCAGGCAAAGGTCAGCATAGGCAGGAATCCTGTTTCAGTGATATCTCCTCTTTTTCTTAAGAGATTTATCCATCCAGCACCAGATAAGATCATATCAATCACTCGTAGAGCAACATCTAGTGGCAGAGGGATACAGCAGGCACGCTCACTGCCCAGCCGCAGAGGAAAGGAAGGGACAGACTTCCCCAACGGAACAGACTGAAAGCTGTGCCAGGTTCAGAGCTGCCCAGTGAAGTATCATCTCTCTTAATTTCATGTTGAAATGGGTCCAATTTATCTAGTAGTAATTCTACCAGTTTAGTAGTTTCCATAGACCTGCTGCTACTTCAGGTATGTACCTAATGACTTTTCTGAGCTTCTTATCCTGCTTAATCCTGGCTATTTTAATAATGTAAAGAAAAACTGAAAAGCAAGCACCTTAGCACAAACATCAGTAACTATATCTACACTAAAAATAGGGCAAAAGACTTATAAAACAGCTAAGAGGAAGTAAAAAAGAACAATGCTGTATCAAAACCAACAATAAAAATATTTATCCATGGTATCACACCTTAGTATCTAATGCAACTACACTGTCTTCAAGGTGCTGTCTTCCTACTGTCTGGCTTGCCTGCAAGACCCCTAACCCTTACACAAAAAAAAAATCTCTTTAACAAAAGAAGCAACACTGAAGGAGCATAATCAAAAACCTGAACCATTCTACTTGTGCAGATCTTCAGCATTATCAGTTAAAATATCCTTGTTTCTTTGAGCAGAATTCTTCATTTGTCATTTCTAAGTTGGACTTTAGTGGAATCTGCTCAGGTTATCTTTATTCTCTTATTTTGAAAAACAAATAGTAAAGGAAAAAGTGTTCTTCTACAGCAAAGCAACGCTCCGAACCCTCCTCCCACCAGCACGACAGCATACCCGTGATTATTCCTACTTTCAGATAGTATCTCAGTTATTTTGTTATATTCAGCACATATACCACCAGACTGCGGTAAAAACAGACACTATGTAATCAACTCTTTACTTATTGGAACATAACAGCAGCTAGAATATAAAGAGCAACTACAAGCCCAGCTATACATGAGTTCTGAGCAAAACCACGCTGCTGCTGCTGCTGCCAAAGCAGCTATTCCCTGTAGGGCCCTGTATCGAAAACCAGCCAGTTCCTTCTGAGAAAATTTTCTTTCTGCTCTAGAATTTCCAGGGAACTTTTAAAATTTATCTTACAGTGGCATTTAAAATTAAGTTTGCGTCCCAGGGCAACATGCCTCAACAACCCTTGTTTCTCCTCAGCCAGGAAAGGCCGCACCGCAGCACGACAAGTCCTGTCCAGGCTGGTACGTGTGCCCTGCATTAGCTTCGCAACCCGGCCTCATCTGGGAGAAAGGGGCCCATGCTTTGAAACAAGTAAACGATGTCCTCAAATAAATAGGTGAGAAGGGCATCGTCTTTAATACCATATCTACACCTGAGTAGTACATTCTCTCTGCAGAGTGGCAGAGATTGATGCCTTTTTCAACAGAAGATCAGATTAATACTTCTGACGTCAAGACCAGACCACCACCACCACCATCTGCATGCGGCAGACTGTCAGAGTTCTGCCACTGCAGGAGAAAAAGGGAAAAGAAAGGAGATGTCTGCTGCTTCACGTGTTACAGTCTTTGTTGCGTTTTGGTTAGAACACATACCTCAAGCTGTTCCCCTGTGTTTCATACACAGCTAAGAAAGGGGCATGAAACTCAATCTGTACTGACCCTGATTTCAGTAACAACCGACCAACGCTTCCAAGTGTCAGGAGTTTTTGGATCATTTACAAACCCGCAAAACAAACAGTAAACATTCAAAATACTTTTAGCGTCTCAAAGATTGGAGCGACCTTTTAGCTATAAACTTATAGCACCATTTAAGAATGACAGTGTATGTCCTCCTGGATCAAAGTGGTGTATCAGCTAATCTGATTGTTCCCATAATTCTCTTTATATTACATTCCTGGTATTTTCTAATATTAATATTTAAATATGATTTGAATCCCATTAGGGTCTATTCAAGTAATTTACAACATAAGATTTTTTCACAGATGTAAAATCTGAACTTGCTGTGAGGCAAAGTAACTTTGTAGACTGCAGCTGAAGTCCCAATTTTGCAGAATTTATCACTATTAGCACTCTCAGCCCAAGAATGAGTTAGAACAGAATAGTACAGTGGTTACGTTACAGATCTGAATGAACTGAAAGATCTGTGGCAGAGCTCAAGAATAGGAGTATAAGAATTAGTGAAGATAAATATAGCAGAAATTTCTATTTCAGGACAATTTTTAGTAATGCCTTACATCAGCCCTTCCCAATTGCAGAGATTCAGAGATGAGATCCTAGTTGCTCCAC